GGTTACCCACAGATGTTAGGCCAAGGACAAATGTGGCACCATCAGGACTGAAGTGAAAGTTTCTGTACATGCCACTTGGTTACCTGTTTGTCTTCTAACACCTGATGTGTTGAAGCTGTCTCTATGGGGCTGGCTCGGACACAGTTCAGGTGGATAAGCAAACACCCCAAGGCTCTCAGAAGTTCTTCTAAATGACTACAAGCCTTTCACAGCTCACAGCTGTGTGAACAGCAGAGTCCCTAGGATGCCAGGAAAAATTTAGCAAAGCCATTCTGCCCCCATTAGCAAATCCCCCCTATGAGGGATTTGTCTGCAGGGTCCCTGAGTGCCCCCATGGCAGCTGAAGGTCAGCCCACAGCCTGTCACCTGGCCCTGCCCTGCCCCATGGAGGTGCTGAAGAACTATGAGAACAGACACTTGAGTCTCTGTGCAGGAGCTTTGGAGATAATTCCATGATCTCATAGAGCAGTTCTTTCTCCAGGCTAGAAAATTAAAAGCCTGTGACCCTATGCTAGGAAAGATAATGAATAAAATGGGGGACCTGGGCAGTTAGCTAGTTTTTTGTTTCCTGACTCACATAGAGGCTGCAGCCAGTACAACCCATCATTCATACAGGAATATGGAATTCGGTCCATGAAATGGGGCAGCTGGGGTCCTGTCCTGTCCATCCTCTGCCACTTACTGTGACCTTGGCCCAGACACTGACCCCCACTGAGCTCAAAGGCCAGCAGCCTCAGGATTGCTGTGGAATGCTCCACACTATTGTGGAACTTTACAGGAGAGCCCATGGGATAAGCAAACACACCATCTGTATACACAGGGGTGTCATGAATGCTCTCCCTCCCCCGACCCCCCAGCCTATGAGCCTGTGAAACAAGACTAGGAACTTGCAGAGGGGAAATCATTTTTCAAGGTCAACCCTAGACACCTGAGTTTTACAATGGTCATTGATCATTTTCAGGCAGTGACCCTGTCAGTTTTGCATTTGTTTTGAATAGACCCACAGACTGGAGTTCTTGCCCTGATTTTTACATACGTAATAATGACACCTGCAAAAGACATCGAAACCCTTTCTGATGTTCCTGCTCAGGAAGTGACTCAGCCGAGCTGACTGCCCAGACATCATGGCCTTGGGTACCTTGTGTGGTCAGATGGTGCCATGGGAGCAAGACAACCAGAACTTCAGGAGCCTTCTCCTGGGGCCCCAGCCATTGTCTATCCCGCCCTGGAAGATCTCCCTTTCCAAGAAGGAGTATGAAGACACCTAATTCCCAATTCTCCCTTCCAGACAAGTCTCCTTCCAGACGGTGGCTCCAGCGTCCATGGTTCAAGTCCCAATCCGATGAGAAAAAGGACCTTGACAGTGTCTCTAGATCAGCACACAGATACCTCTTTTCCCCACATATGTAGTTTAGTGCCAAATAGGCAGAGATGACGAGTCCCAAGTATGCAGTAATCCCATTTCCCCAGAAAGCAGGGTTTTGTTTTGTTTTAATTTTACAATCAACTTACATGTAAATAAATATCTTTAATGGTAGAAGTGGACGGGTCAAATGCCTACGTCAAACATATGGCATTATTTATTCTGGTAGTTCCACATTCATATTTAAAGGGATCTATTGATATTTTAACTTAGAAATATTGCTGTTTTTTCTCTGTAGCATATTATCAAATGAGACCTTATGAAGGTGCTGGTTGTACGAGGTCAAAAACAGTTGAATAGGAGCAGTTCTGTAAGGTGCAGCCTAAGATTTGCAGTGTCTGCCTTCATTGTTACTCACCCCACCCTTCTGAGTCACCTGAGTCACCGCCAGAATACACCTGTTACTGCTGCCAGTGTTCAGAGATACTGCCTCTTTTGGAATCTATATGCACTGCCCTTGCTAGGTAGTCTCACACAAGCTGTGGCATAACTTAGCACTGTGTGTGCTGCGTTGGTGTGACCTTGGTCTGAGTTGGTATGACCTTTCTGTTGGTGTCACTTTGCTCTGTGTTGCTGGGGCCTTGCTCTGTGTTGGTGTGACCTTGCTCTGTGTTGCTGTGGCCTTGCTCTGTGTTGGTGTGGCTGTGTGTTGGTGTGACTGTGCTCTGCATTCGCGGGATCTTGTACTGTATTCTCCTCAGTCTTTTCCTTCATTCGCTCTGTTGGTGTGGACTCCCAGTCCCCTTGTATAACCACTTACCAGATTGCTTTTAAGTGATTTTTAAACATTTCTTTACATCATCCTCCCTCATCTGTGATTATGAAATCATACTTCCCGGAGACAGTTAAATTTCTATGTTTCCTTTTTTTTTTTTTTGATCCCTGAGTGATCTTACTACAAATAATTAAAGGCATCCCTTAGGCCTCCCCCTGAACTGTGAGAGGTTTTGTTCTTGAGTATAACTCTTTCCAAGAATAATTTTTAGCAAAAGCCTTCCCCCCCTCATGTTCGAGCATGTCTGTTGCTTGTATATGGACTCCACAGGGCAGTGGCTGGATGTCAGTTCTTACGTAATTACACATACTTGAATATGAATATTCAACCAGTTCATTGCAAGAAAAAAGAGATCTTTCTACTCTGCACAGGCCACTGGGCAGAAGTTCAGGATAAATCAGAGGTTCTCAGCTCTGGGTGCCCCTTCTAGAGGCACTGAGTGATTGGTCTGGGACACTGGGGTTTTGAAAAGCTCACCTGGTGATCTCACACAACAGATCCCAGCTCCCTCCCAGATCCCTCCCGGTGGAAGTCCTTGCTGTGACAGCCATCCCACGTTCAAGGTCTCCTGTGGGCGGGGCCTCCTCATGTGACCTCATCCTTCCACCTCAGCACCCCTCACACACCTGTGCTCCGGTGCCAGGTCCTGAGGCCTAGGGTGGAGCCCAGAAATCTGCATCTGTGATGCGTGATGAATTCTCAAGCCCATAAGCAGCCGTTGCCTAGTTTATCTAGAAGATTGGATGTGAAGAGAGACACAAAGCTGAGACCCTGGGGCTGGCCTTGGCCGCTGGGGCGAGTGCTTGTTCTGGTTTGAATGTGCCAGGGCCCACAGCTGAGGAGGGGAGGTGGGGGAGGACTGGAGCCCCATCACAGCAGCATTCCCCCTGAGCCTCTTTATACTTCTAAAGTAGAAAAAAAAAAAAAAAGAAAAAAGAAAAACCAACAAAAAATGTGATCCTGCTTGTCAGACTAGAAAGCAGAGGAATCCACCTGGTACACCAAAGCTCTTTGGGGAGCAGACTGTGCCCCCTTGGTCACACACAGGACCAGCAGTGTGCCCTGGAGCCTAGGCCTTATGACTCCTCACAGGCCCCCCTCCCCTCCAGGGAAAGCCCTCCCTCCAGCACAGGCTGAGGTCAGGCCTAAAGGGCAGGAGACTGGGAGGCACATGATCCAGACAGCACCTGGCGTGGCCACCACATGTGGCATTCAGAGGACAGGCCCCCCTCCCCTCTCTCCACCCTGAGGTGCGGTATTAACTCCAGCTGGGCTGTGGCACCTGAGGCCTTTGCATTATTAAAGTTTTGCAGAGTGTTCTTAGAACCCCATAAATCACAGATGGTGTGGGTGCTAGGGGACTCCAAATGGAGAGAGTGCACATGTGGACCTGACTCTCTCTCCAAAAGAGACCAGCTTATCAGAGAGACAGTTCCAAGGGCTCCTGGGAGAGCCAGCAAGGGCCCAGGACTTTGGAGGTGGAATTGGGGCAGAGGGGCTGAGTAGCTGGCAGGTTCCCTTTGGAACACTTTAAAAGGGTACAAAGAGGGATAGGAGGAGGGCAGGAGCTTCATGGGCAAGTCCCGCCAAGTCCACACACTGGGAACCTGGGACATCTGCTGAGCTGCGACTGGGCTGGTTTTGGCAAACCCAGGCCTACAGGTGCCAGAAGGTGCCAGAGATGCCAGCAACCCAGGCCTTGGCGTCTGAGTTAAAACCATGAACCACAAGTAGTATGTGACTCCAGGACTCCATTATACAAGAAAGGTTGTACTTCATTTTCTCCAACTTAATTCTGGGCCTCCACTCTCCAGGCTTGCAGGAAATTCGACCCTGCCCATTTCTGAGCTCCCCTCCACAACCACACGGCCAGGTGAAGGGCCCAGTGCCTCATGTAGCACAAAGCGCTGGGGAGATGCCAGAGGTCATCAGGCCCAGCACCTCCTGGGCGCCACCAGGCCATCCTGTCCCTATCTCTATAATTCGGAAGCCCAGCTTCGTGCTCGGAACTAAAGTAGAGAGGGTGGGAAGTGAAATGCAGGCCTCATAAATTAATATTTCAGCAACTGTCTTGTGTCCTAGCTTGGGCAGCCGAGATGAAATACCATAGACTGGGGGCTTAAAGAGCATTTATTTCTCGTAGTTCTGGAGGCTGGGAGTCCAAGGTGCTGGCAGATTTGGCTCTTGGTGAGGACCCACTTCCTGGTTTGCAGGTGGCTGCCTTCTTGCTGTGTCTTCACGTGGTGGAGAGAAAGGCTCTGATCTCTCTTCCTGTTTTTTTGGGTTTTTTTTAAGATTTTATCTACTTAATCATGAGAGACACAAAGAGAGAGGCAGAGACACAGGCAGAGAGAGAAGCAGGCTCCATGCAGGGAGCCTGATGTGGGACTCGATCCCGGGACTCCAGGATCATGCCCTGGGCTGAAGGGAGGCACTCCACCACTGAGCCATCCAGGCGTCCCACTCTTCTTCTTTTTTATAAGGACACTAATCTCATCATGGGGGCTCTGCCCTCATGACCTCATCTAAACCTAATTACCTCCCAAAGGGCCCCCCACCTTCCCCTAATACCATCCCATTGGGAGTTAGGGGTTCAACATGTGGATTTGGGGAGACAACATTCAGTCCGTAACATCTTGAAACAGGCTTCTATCAGGCAGCTGGGGTGCAGCCAAGCCTCCTTGTCCTGCATTATTTCAAGCCCCTGGGGCCAGGCCCAGGAGCAGCTACATTGCAGAGCCATTGTCACATACTGCAGCCCAGATTAGGCCCCCAGCTCAGACTGGTCCCTGTCTCTGGCAGTGCTCCTCAACCTGTGGGAAGGGCCTGCAGTCCCGCGTGGTCCAGTGCATGCACAAGGTCACCGGGCGCCATGGCAGTGAGTGCCCCGCCCTGTTGAAGCCAGCAGCCTACAGACAGTGCCACCAGGAGGTCTGCAATGACAAGATCAACGTGAACACCATCACCTCCCCTCGCCTTGGTGAGTGGCCCCAGGCTGCTGGGGAGGGTGCTGCCCCCACCCCTAGCCAGTGAGTCCCCACTGGCTAAGGAGTTGTAGAAGCCAGAAAGCCCCCCATTGGGCCTGATCTGATTCCTCAAGAGGTCAATACTTGTCAGCTGTGTAGAAGAAGCTGTGTAGAGGTTGCAGAGATGGGATTTGTTTTTTTGTCATGAAAAGCATGTCTGCGAGTGGCAGGGCAGCCTCAAACACGATGCCTCAAGCATCCCACTAGTCACGCCACCAACAGTGAGGAGCACAGGAGGATGGTCCTCGGTTAATGTTTTGGGGTTCCTGTGCACGAGGAGGGCAAGGGGAGGTTCATTCTTCCAGAAGTGAAGGAGCAAGTGTTATTCACAAAACCTTAGTGATGTACATGTGGGATATTCCTCAAGCTGATGCTTGAGAAGAAAACAGAAGTGCTGATAGCTTGGAGTCTTGAATTCAGTGGCATGGGAAGGAGAAGAGGAGCATTTATTTGACATGAATCTGGTGATTCCTTTTAACAGTCTCTGCTTTTCTCAATAGAAATCCCTAAGGAATATTCTCTTACCCAGAGCCCCCTTCCCTAATGCTGGAATGCAACCAGAATGAAGGGGGCTTATAAGTTGTTTCACTGGGGGGGGGGTCTTTGAGCTTGCAGAGAGAGGGGCACCCCCAGCTTCTGCACGCATGGACCTCCTTGGGATGCTCCAGAGACCTCCCTCAGGCATGACCTTCTCTCCGCAGGATGACCCTGAGGGTGATTTAGGCCACTTGCTTGTGCTAGGAGCTCATGCTTTAGTGGGCCCTATGAAGTCCATTGCCCCATGCCATTCTTTCCTCTAAATGCCAGCAGTGACGGTGTCCTTCACTAAGTAAGTAGTACTTAGCTGAGAAGCAGGGTGTGCAACTGCCCTTGCCCCGCGGAAGCAGCCAGACTGCCATGCTCTGCTAAGTGGTTAGGTTAGACACGGAGTGCATCCCCTGTAGGAAAAAGTGACATCACGTGGCCCTGGCAGTGGGCATGTTTCTTCAAGTCCATGTAAGACTCCAGCATACATGCGAGTGAAGGCAGCTTAGAGTGTGTCAGACCATAGGCCATCTCTGAGCATGAGCCATGATGTCCCCATGCCATCCATAACCTCTGGGCTTTCTCCCTCCTCACCATCCCCTCAGCTGCTCTGACCTACAAATGTACACGGGACCAGTGGACGGTGTACTGCCGGGTCATCCGAGAAAAGAACCTCTGCCAGGACATGCGGTGGTACCAGCGCTGCTGCCAGACGTGCAGGGACTTCTATGCCAACAAGATGCGCCAGCCGCCACCACCATCACCAAGCTCATGACACGTGGCCCAGCGGTCCCTCAGCACTCCCACACATGGTCTGAACCCTGATGACACGGCTAACTGAAAGCCTGCCCACCCAAGAGCACACCAGTCCTGCGGCCAGGACCCCCCCAGAGCACACCACCGCTCACCCACACGGCTGTCCCAAGAACCCAATCCTATAGAACTTGAGCGTGAACCTGACGTTTGCTGTTAGTGCTTTTGTACTTAATATATTGTTAACAGCCACTGGATGGCTTTCTACAGTAAGGAAAAAATAGGCATGAGTCACAAAATTATTGTCATTTCTAAGGTTCCGTGTACCTCAAAGGGAACACCTCTGACAGACAGTTGTCAAAAGAAAGAGACGCTCTTTCTTTTGGCGTTTGAATTCCTGGTGCTTAATATGCCACGGGGAGATTGTCCCCCAAAGGAGACATTTGATGTTAAAACAGGCTTTATTCTGAAAGCCAACAGCACCCTGGAAGGAAGGACAGATGTCAGCAGCCTCTGCTAATGGCTTCTCCCAAGAGGGCCCGGCAGCCAGAACCCTTCTTGACAACACAAGAATCAGCACTTTGCCTCTCAACCCGTCTCTGAAAACATGTTCTCTAGATCGTGGGCCTTAGCCCTGACAGTTTGTATCCGTATCAGCCAAGGATGCCAGGGCCACATAGTTGTACATACCACCTGTGTTGGGGTGGGGAGAATATTCTGGAAGTGTTTGGGTTTGGGGAAGCATCTGATTTTTATACTCTACTGTCCACAGCATGGGGAAACATAAAAGTCTTTCTTCAAGATGCTATGAAATGGGACATATGTTAATTTGGGGGATGGGACTGTTTTCTGGCATAAAGATGAGCTCAGGACAGCCTCATCACCCCCTCTGCCTTCTGGGGCATCTACTCCAGTCAGTACTTCATAAAGCCTTGCACCTCATAGATGGCTTCTATAAGGTGACCTTGGCCATCTATCTGAAGTTGATTCTTTATAGAACTTCTGGCTACTTCGCCTTGGCATGGGACTGGTTTCCTCTAGAAGCCACTCCACCTGGTATGCCAGGATCAGTGGAGGAGTGCCACCTGGCCAGGATCACTGCACAGCCACCGTGCCTTCCCATAGCCCAGACCTTGCAGGACTCATCATTGTCACACTATTGTAATTGACCCATCTTCTTAGTAAGGCAAGGATGACTCTCAGAAAGCACGAAGAAAGTCTTTCCCACCTGCAGCCCCTCATAAAGAGCTGTGCCCTCTCCAGAAGCCTGGGGAAATGACAAGAGCACAGAAGACACTACAACCCTGCCCGCTTTGAGAACCAGGAGGGAAAGACTCTACATGCCAGGAGGCCTATTTCGCTCACCAACTTGGTGGGTGTTTGATGGGTGCTTACATTCAAAGACTTTATCCTGATAACCACCCCCCTTCACCTCCCTTATTATGGACAGGGAGTCTCACTTATACCAATCTCCCTGGGGTCGTCTCTGAGGACTTCCTGATTTATTGGTGCTGTGTTTATGTATCTGCTTTTGTTTTTGATGATGTCACAAATTTAGGGTTAAGGCTGTTTCAATATTCCAGAGACAGAGAAGTGGTAGGGATGACAAGAAATGTGTGTAGTTCCACTTGAATCAATGAGAAGTATTGAGAAACCTGCTTGTGTCAAGGACTGAGAGAATGCCAGGATGGAGCGATCCACCCTGCATGTAAACCTCCCCCTCCCAAAACAGTTGCACCGGAGCCTATGCAAAATGCTGTCCTCCCCAGCTCAGGCTTGGCCACCAAGAGACTCTCCCCGACCCCCAACCCCATTTCCCCCATTTCCACAAAACTCTCAAATTCTTGGGGATCTAGGGTTCCATTTTCCCCCAACCCCAAATGGGCCGTGCTTTACCATGTAATGTCAGAAAGATAGCAACCTCACACACTGAGGAGCAGAGCCTGGGTGGCAAGCTAAGGAAGCCAGGGCAGCCTTGCTTGCTCATCTGCATCTGGTACCCAAGCTGGGCAAGCATGTGCACATACTTGCCCATAGGCAAGCCCTCTCCCTGGTGCCATTGAATTACCCCCCTCCCCACCTACACCCCAGCTACCTTGACTCTATCAACTGGATGCTTCTGGCAAGGGCCTCACACCTTCAAAATGCAAATAATTGATTTGGTTCTTACTAAACATCCATTGGTTCTCCCAAAGTTCGTGTCTTTCTGACCTCTTTTAGCTCATGCTGGCACTGTTGCTCTGAAATTCACCACCAGCCTGCCTTCTGTTTATGGCACAAGAAGTGATTGATTTCAGCGAAGCCATCCTTGGCGCTTTCATTCCACTTTGTACAGAAGACATCGAAACCCTGTGATCACAACAGTGATGTTTATTAACAATACCCTGTACTGTCACTTAAGTACTGTACCTTTTTGTGCAAAATGTGTTACTAACTGCAGAGTCTTAGGACCTTATGGTGCTACTTTCGTGGGTGCAAATGAAACCCTCTCACTTGACCATGGCTTGATATTATCAGAACACAGGGAAAGATCCTCAATAGCAATAATATCATTGCTTTGCTCTCTTTTCTTCATTTCAGAGTCAAATGTATATATTTTCCATTAGTTAACTTCCATTACGTACTGTACCCATGGTATTTTTGTTTCACTTTTTGGTGCTGGTTTTGAAAGAAAAAAAAAGAACAGAAGACAAACATTGGACACCACTGTAAATGAAAAATTAATCATTTCATTGGAAGTGAGTTGAACATGTCTTAATAAAAATGTTTTTCCATAACAATTTTAAGCTGTCCGTGAAGTCAAAGACAAAAACCAGTCCTCGAGGGCTGACAGAAGGAGGCCTGTCCTTCTGCAAGTGGTCACATAGCTTGCCTGGAACGGCATACCGACCACAGCTGTGACTGTGTCAGAGGTCGCTGGTAAATGCAGTTCTGGCGGGTGGCTGCGTCTCCCTGAGCAAGCTCTAACAAATCATTCTGTCCCAGGCCTCACCCCTGTGTGGTTGCAAAGCCCTGGGTGGGGACATGAAGGTCTGACAGCTGTGCTGTGAGTCTGTGTCTGATGCAGAGCTTCAGCCACCACTTCACTCTCAGAGATGCCCATGCTCCATGGAGGTGCAGTGACCCCTGGGGTGGAGGGGGGGTGCCTGCAGACAGAGCCCAGGCCTTGATCATGCCAGAATGGGCATCTGCTCCCTACAACCTTGCCTTTCTACCTCCAGCCTCCCTCCCCCAACCCTGCTAACAGTGCATTCAGCTTCCCTCTCATGCAGTTATGAGGAGGAGTCCTGGCCCTACCATCCTCCCAGCTGAGGACACGGCAAGGGGACCACACTCTCATAACTGGAACCCCTCTGGGTTTGACACAGAGCAGGGATGTCACCACTCCTTCTCTGTTCATCCCCTTCTGGCGTCAAGGAGAAAGAGCTCCACAGCCAAGAACTTGGAGCTCCATTCAACAGAGATCGCCGCCTTTTAATGTTGGAGTAGCCCCAGAAGTTTCCTGAGGTGAAAACCATTTATTTAACAGATAGCAGACTGCCCACAGCACCCCCAGTTGCCAGGAGACACAGCCTGTTGCTTGCCTTAATTCTCAGTAATTAAAAAAAATTTTTTTAAATAAAAAATTAATACAAATAAATAAAAATAAAAATACATTCTCAGTAATAATCAGCCACCTATCTCAGAGAGCTGTTAGTATCCTCTTTTCGGAGAGCTCTGATCTCTCTGGAACTTCTAGCAGCTCTGATGGTATGTAATTTCTCCTGCAGCGGCTGTGGTTCCTGGGTGGCCCTCGGCAATTTCAGGTTGGGAGCTGAAACCAACAAGCTCTCGGTCAGCAAATGTTGAGTGGGTTTCTAGTAGGAACCCAGGACTCCGTGAAACTGATGAGAACACAACAAAAGACCACCTTAGGAGCCCACCACCCTGCTGAGCAGACAAGACTGGAGTCACAGAAAACAGAATGAGGGAGAGCTGCAGGAATGCCAAGAAGGGAAAGGTCAGGACCTCTTTTGTGGGTTTGTTGATTGACCTCTGGACACAGGAGGCTAGAAGCACTGGGGTTGGAACTCCCATGAGCTCTCCAGACTGCTCCCCTGGCTCTTGGTCCCTATGCTGCACTTGCACTATTTTAGGGTCACCTGACCTTCAGATACCCCACTGCATCTTGTCTTCAGCAGCCCCTCTCCTTTGGGACATCCTCTTCTCCCAGCTTCTGGACCACTGTCTCCTGACTTTTTTCTCTTGCTCCAGCTCCTTCCTATCTCTCCTTTCTCTGCCAGGTCTAGGTTATAGAATGCCCCTGGGCTCAGCCCTAACCCCCGTCTCTCTATATACTTTCTCCCCCAGGTCATGTCACCCAGGCCTGAGACTTTGAAAACTATGCACATTCTGGTATCTCCCCAATTTGCTTCTTTGGTCCTGAGCACTCTCTTGACCTCTATGTTCATAAACTACCTCTCCACATGTATAGGCCATCCCATGGGAAGCTCTGGGACTGGGATGGCCCTTCAGAGTTGTCCCAAATCTGAGACTCGGTGGGGATACCTCACCTCTGCTTTATGCGGCATTAACTGGGGTGGTTCAAAGCACAGGAAGAGGCTAGGATTATCAAAAGTCTCCCATGCTTGTGTATCTTGGCAAACAATGCTGGTCCTCAAAACCTCAGCTAGGACTGTCAGCCAGAACACTTACAAGTGACCTCTCCAAAGGGCTGCCTGGCAACCCTGAAGCACAGTGGCAGGGTTGCAGTGGTCAACACTCTTGAGAGAGAGCAAGACTCTCATGACAGCTGTGTCACCTCATGTGACAACTAAAAAGTTACACAACATGACATCCTCCATCCTCTAATAATTAAGGCAGTCACAAAGGCTCATGGGGAGGGGACAAAGAGTCTACCTCTTGCTGGAGGGAGTGGCGAGCTCTGGAAAAGCAGGTGGAATGAGAAATGTTTAGCCATTTGGAGGAAAATTCACATACCCCATTGCAGAATATGCCCACCCTTCCCCTAGAGTCTCATCCCATTTCAACATCATGTTCAGGGTCATAACCCCTGGATTTCATCATCTAAGTCAGGTGCAGGTGCAGGTTGGCTTCCTCCCGTGTGCAACTCCCTCAGGTGCAGCTTCTTGAGCACTATTTCTCTCAATTTAAAGACCAGGGAACTGAAAAGAGATGTTGTCTCCTCCCAGCTTCCAACACCCAAGAGATAATGGTGGGACGGACACAGGAGAACCGATGTAGATACTCTCTAGTTAAAAAGGAGGGAAAGGGCAAGTACATGGAAGCCACTGTCCATAGCAGTTCTAAAGTCTGGCATGGCACATGTGGCCAGTTCCATTTGTCTCAGCCCTACTGCCTGCGGGTCATTCTTCTGGGACTGCCTCCAGAAGCCAACAACACTTGCTCTTGTAATTCATTCTTAGTGGTAGGAGAAGCTAAATGCAATCAAATGCTCTTCCCTTTGAAGAGGATGTCCTGACGTGCTCCAGACCTCTGGACTCATAAAAACTTCACTGATAGAACTTGCCTTTGAATATTCATGGTGTTTACTGCCCACCTGCTAGGGCACAGGTATCTTACAAAGGCTATCTCTAATTTATGTGCTTTTTCTTTTTCTTGTTCACCTGGTCTGATTAACAGGATATCATGGATACAGTGGGTCAGTGTGCATTCTGTGGAGGGTCTGAACAGTCGAGGCATTCTTGGGTATTATAGCCCTTAGAGAAGACTGTACATGATGGCTACTGTTGTCTATCACACATGAGCATGAATTACTCTAGTCTTCCTCTCTGATAGAGATAGAAAAGAATGCATTTCCTAGCTTAATAGTCATATACCTTGTATCCTGAACCTTTTCAGTCTACACTAGAAAAGATACCATATCTGGCACAGCAGTCCATTTGTGGCTAATTCTACCACAGTGGTTAAGACTGTGGGAGTCCACTGTCCTATGACAGGACCAAATCTAAATTTTATAGGGGCCAGACTGATGGCTCTGACAGGGATATGATGGAATAACCTCCCCGGCATTCTTTAGGTCTTTAAGCATGTTGCTCAAACATGCCGTCCTCACCAGGTTGCAATATTGCAATATAGCTATTGACTTACTTTCTTGCCTGGAGACATGGAGGCAATTTCTCAGCCTTCCCCACTACAATGATGCCTTATTCCACAGGCCAAGTTCATCCACTCCGAGTGTGCTTTCAGGGCCAGGGGAAATGATCACTGGGTGACCATAAGGAACCACTAGGCCCACTGTGAACCAAACCTGGACCAAGATTCCATTTATTATCTGAACCCCATCCCCCTTCACTCAAAGAGAGGACTATGATAACACTCTGTGTCCCCAGCAGCAACATCAACTTGGATCCTACGTGTAGCATGTAATTGAGTGATGGTTAAATTAATCATCCTCAGCATTTTTATTGTGTTTCTCTAATGCATCAGTAACACTCAGTAACAGCTGTTGAATTTCTTTGCCTGTATCTTTCAAATGACTGAGACATTACGCCACCAGTGAAAGTTTTCACCATTTCCTTACACCAATGCCAGGGGCAAGAGGTCCTGTGGTCTGGCTGGCAGGTGGTGCAGCTCCAAAATCCTATTTTAGGGTCTGCTTCCTAGGATCACTCCTGGCACCAACTGCTTTGGTTTGGGTTCTTGAAATCAGGCTCTGAGGTAGAGATTTTTTTTAAGATTCATTTATTTATTTATTTATGGTAGACATAGAGAAAGAGAGAGAGAGAGAGGCAGAGACACAGGAGGAGGGAGAAGCAGGCTCCATGCTGGGAGCCCGACGTGGGACTCGATCCTGGGACTCCAGGATCGCGCCCTGGGCCAAAGGCAGGCGCTAAACCGCTGAGCCACCCAGGGATCCCTGAGGTAGAGATTTATGAGAGGAGGTTCACAGAAAGACATCCTCGGGAATATACTGTAATGGCATGAGAGCATCAGGGTTGGGCAAGGAAGACACGAAACTCTGATGCAGTCACAACAGGAGCTCAGCTGATGCCATGGAGAGCTTTGGAGAAGGAATGGCCTTCAAGGTTGTCCCGTGTTGAGGCAGGTGGGCGGCCCTGGCTGCCAGCTACCCTGGGGAAAGTGTAGTCTTAAGAGTTAGGTCCCTTCTGCTGAGGCCTGGGGACAGACTTCACAGTGAGTCAGCCAACACTACCAGCAGCCAGGGAAATGAGAGCCTGGGTTGTGGAGAGAGATCTGTGTGGCACACCACAGAATCCATAGCATACCTCCAGTTTAGATCTGACAAAATTAAATTCTCAATTCCTTCCCTCTTATGAACTCTTTCCTTCCAGACCTTCCTCATCTCATTCAATGGCACCAAGATCCCCCGATGCAGACATCAAACGTTTGACATCAAAACTTGAAAATCATTCTAATTTCCTCAGTTTCCCTTTCTATCCCCAGCCCAAAGCAGCCATAAATTCCACTGGTTCTGCCTCCAAGTTGTGCCTCTAATCTGTCGGCTTCTCCCTCTGTCTCTGCCACCACTGTGCACCAAGTCACAGACCCCCAACAGGGTCCTTCAAAAGCTTCCTGACCATCTCCCTCCCCTCCTTTCTGGCTCTCTCCAATACATTCTCTGCACTCCACTCAGAGAAATATCTCACAAACATAAATCCTGGTATTCCCCATGTAAAACCCCTCAGTAGCTTCTCATCCCTGAGGTTTTCTCATCTCACGGCCCTGTGTGAACCTGCCCCTGCTGTCCTCACCTCCCACATGGTCATTCTCACACCTACATCAGCCACAC